TTCACATAACAAGAGAATGGCTTGTTATAGAAAGGCTAACATTAATCATAAATAACCATCCTACTAAAACCATTCCCACTGTATTCATAAAAGGGATAAGGGACAAGATTTTTTTAAAATTAATGTTGAAATCCAGAATTAGAGGAAGAATGCCCATTGTAAAATATTTCCCAGCCACACATTTTCACCTTGAAGTATTACTGGCACTGCAATACCTTCAAGGTAATCAGGTTTGATAAGGATACATACTCTCTGAAAATGGAAAGAAATTTTAAATGAATTAAAAGAAGTTTTAGAACACTGAGATCTACGGAGAAGGCCCCCTGACTCGTGGATATAAGATGCAATTCATAACAAGGTCTCCCCTAAGCTTCAAAAAACAAACAAAACCCAAACCAGCCCAAACACTGTTAATTCCCCAACACTGTAATTTCTGTATTTTTTCTTAAAGAAAAGAACAGGGCCATTTTATCACCAAGTTATTGAGTTATATTTTCTGCATAATTAACTAGCTCTGTCTTCTTTATCACCACAACATAAATTCATGATGGTGGGCTGCGGAAGTGGAAGTTTATGCAAACTCGATTCTGCACATGGTAACTTGGGACAGTCCCAGTTCAGCTTCCTGGGGCTGTTGCACAAAGACTGGCAATATGAAAAAGATAGCATGCACAAAGTGCTGGAATCAAATTGTTCAGTATCCAAACAATGCACAACAAAAATCACAGGTGAAACCTTTACAGTGCTTGGACTCAAACATTAAATAGGCTTTAATGGACAGCGCAGAAATGAAGCTGTATTAATATTAGCAAATGGCCTGATCACAGCTGGCTGATAAAACATAAAATGCTTTAATTTGAAGGTTTTAATTAAAGAAAAAGACTGGGTTGTTTGTTTTTTTTCAGTCAGAGTAGGCCAAAACTGAGGAATTCTTCAAATGAATGCTAAATGTGACAATGGGGAGAACTGCTTTTGAAAAATGTGTCTTTGGGGGCCTTTTCTTTGATTCCACAGCACACTTGAACAATATAAACCTCAGAAAATCAGCTTCTGTTGTGCCTTCACCAGTACACTTACATGGTCCTGCAGGATATAACTGAGTAGCTGTGCAGGACTAATGATGTCAATTCTCTTCTGTAATGTGTTAATTTATCTATTTAGTAAGTTCCATCAATTTCACAGAAAAATACAAAGCTTGAACTACACTTGCAGTAAATTAGAAATGTTTTATTAATCAGTTAACTCACCTGGACATCCAGAACAATACCTAATTCCATTAAAGTCAACCAGATTCTTAATATAACAAAGACAATTAAGTCTAAAAACCTGGCTGAAAGATATCAAGACATGAGGCAACACTGACAGAGAAAATGATTCCACAAAGAGGCGGTGGAATATATAGCTCCTAAACAAGGTTTTAAGTACAAGGAACAGATCGCTGACAGAAGGTAAAAAACCCTCAAAACACCAAAACCCAACACAGCAACAGCCAGAGTAACATAGAACTGCCACAGATCCCTGTTTCCAACAGAATAAATAACTGGCTTTCATCTCTCCTTTATTATTTTATTGCAAGCCCCACAGTTAACGCATCTTATACTAGGAGAGCATTTATATGAAGACTGGCATGAAAACAGAGAGACTAATCCCAGTGAATTTATTTACATGCAAGTCAGACCAGGCTGACGTAAACTACATGAACGACTTTACAGGAAACTAAGAGATCCATTGGTAAAAAAGAATACATACAGAAATTCAAATACACAGGACAATCCACAGAGAATAAACAAATTTACCATAGAGTCAAACCATTCTGTCACTGCAAGAATGCTTCATGGAGTTCATTTCCAGCATTTTGTTTAATCTAGTTTTACATGTCTTGTTACCTTATTTAATATTTCTGGTAATCTAGATCATGTCCTCTTTTTATTTTACCCAAATATCCATGTTTATGCATATCCACATGTATTATTCAGTGGTATTTCTTCCATGTTGTCTGCATCCTTAAAAATACTTCTGGCAATTGCTGATAATGTTTTTTAATTAATAGTTTAACCAGTTTTAACTAATTCTAATACTTCAGGTGGGAACTGAAAAATGGGAAAAAGGTTTCTAAATAACAGAAAAGTTTTCCAGTGTGGATGCAAAAAGGCCTAACCAACTGAAAGACAAAATCCCTCAAGTCAATAAATGTAACTGCCTGCAACAAGGAGCTAAAACAGATCTAGGAGTCTGTTCCAGTCCTGAATATTTATATAAATTGTGGAACAAAAGGAGGAGATACTCTTGTCCCTAAATCTATTAGAAGTAAATGTACGGCTAGAAAGTATTGCTGCTTCTGAATGACCAGCAGTATCTTGGAAAGAAATCTACACTAAGCCTTCAACTAAAATGTTCAATAAAAATAACACAAAACCCCCAATGCTCTTCAATGGCACCTTTCATTCAATAATGAACATGGCCACAGTGATGTGTCCTCAAGCTATTTCGTCTATGTCCCTCAAAAGCAAATTCTGTTATTCCAACACCTGCCCGATTCATTTTGGCTAATGCACTTGATTTTAAAAACTGGCTAATGTCCCCTAAGTGCTTCTTGTTCAATGGCATATCCCAGTAAATAATAACCTCTGAACGATACTATTTCCTACCAATTTATTGTATGTACTATAAATTCAAAGATATGTCTCTAACTTTGGTTTAACTGGAGCTTTGATCATTAATATATCCTGGGGAGTTAGGTAAAAGGGTCATCATCCAGAGAAGGATACCAAGTGATCAGATCTGTTAGCATGCCTTTTCATGCAATGGCTCCCGAACCTGTCTTAGTCAAGATGATCTGGTTTAGAAAGGGGTCTCTGAAGTATTTAAAGTAGTTATGATTAGTTAAGAAATAGTTAATCTCTCTTCCTCCCATGGTATACCAAAGTGTGCATGTAAAGCTCAAAGAAACACATGCTATAAAGAACTGAGAGGTTACATCTGTTCAAATTGGATCATGTTGTCACAGTTAACTAAAATATAAATCGTTTCTCCCAATTCATTAAAAGGAATCACACTGCCAAACTTGACCTTTTGGTGGTTATCGTCATTCATACTGACTGTGTAAATTAAATTAAGTACTCTGTTTAAAAACTAGATAGTTTTCTTCTGTATTTGGAAAAAATATCTCCTAATTTTACCCAAGTATATCTTAGTAGGTGACAAATATGATGAAAGCTCTACCCTTCAATAATCATAGAATCACAGAATGGTTTGGGTCAGAAGTGACCTCAAAGATCATCTTGTTCCAATCCCCCTGCCATGGGGGTTATTAGATAAACCTGGCAAAGGAGCTTGGTTAACAATCAGGAATCTTGAATTTTAATGACTGCATGAAATCACCATATTTCAAAATTTAGGATTAATAAATATAACTAACTTTTCTATCACAGTTGCACTAACACCATAACAAAAAAGTTGTATGAACCAAAAAATGCTGTAATTAATTCTTTAGTACTAACAGCCTGTCCAGTGTTGTGTAAAACATCAAAGTTAAAAAAAAATCATGCATGCAAGAGGAATGGGAAAAGGAAGGCAGGAAGATGCCATGGTAATGTCTCCTCACAGAATCAGCTTTCAGTTAGAAATCAAAATCTCCTCTGTCATGGTGGAAAAAAAAAAAAAAAAAAAGTTGTGATGTTTCGCAAAGACAACGATACACAGCTTGTATCTCAATCTGCACAGATTTCAGTATCTGTATTCATTTTAAGGGATGCAGAAGCAAGAGAGCCAAAAAATGCTTGAAATGAAACAAGTCGGACTCTTCCTGCAGATGATAAACAGGGTTGCAATGATTTGTTTTTCTCAAAGGGAAGTTCAACTTTTGAAAATTTTTGAAATCATATTCTGAGAGTTAAAAATATGCACCGTCCAGGAGAGTTTAGAAAAAATCCTGTACTATCGCAGAAATGTACAACTTTTGCTGCAGGCACTAATCACTGCACAGCTATTTCATTTAGAGTGTCTGCCTTTCAGAAAGATTGCAGCAGAACATTTTATGTAACTCCTGTTATACTTAATTTAGTCTCAAACTCTTGAAAGAACCACCAGCATTTCTCTATCTTATAAAACACTATAGGTCTTTTGACACTGCATCTGATGTATACCTCAATGTAATCCATCTATGTGCTTTACATACAGGACAGGATTATGCTTCATTTTGGGGGTTCTGCTTCCCCAGCACTTTCTGAAGCGCAGCTACAACTCCAACTCAGCCTTCTCACAATCCAAGGACTATGTTGCCGATGGCTCAGAAAGCACGGAGGCAAGCCATGGTGTGAAATGTATAATTATCATGTTGCAGAGAAACTGGTTAGTTTTAATTTGGTAAAAATAACCATTCCTTCTCCCTGGAACATGTAGCATCATGGATATCACTCTTCACATACAGCAAACAGCATCTTCTCTTGACTAGGAGTCAGAACATTATTAATTGCAACAGCATTAAAAATGGAGTGTACCAAGATGAGCTACAAAAAACCCCTTTGGGAACTGCATAGTTCTCTACTTAATACAGTCTTGACTCTTGTCCTCTCCTGTAGAAAACAAAAATAGGCTTTGTCAGAGATTGAGTGTCCCACAGACTTTGTCTGACATAAAAGCAATTAATAGCACACTACTTCGGTCCACAACTACCAGATGGGGCCGTTCTCCCCATTACATGCTTGAAGGGAAGATGTACTAGTATATTTAGGGAACATCAGTAACCTTTACTGCATGCCACTTGGTGAATGAGAGGGAACATGCGTATGATGAGTAAGTAACAATTCTGAACTATTAAAGAAGGCATTAAATTTCTATTTGAGAAGCCTTTCAATAAAGTGTTATACAAAAACTCCTCCAATAACCATGTCTGTGTTCTAGACAATTCTTTTGGGAAGGAAAATCCATTTCCCCGAACAGGAAATCTTCAAGTTTAAAGAGGCTAAGTATTATAAGGTCAGAGATTGTCTGCTTTGTATTTACCATTCTACTCCTATGGCTTTTTTGAATTCAGAATTTTGTGGCTCTAAGATGTCATAATAAACCCTACTTTTATCAAAGTTTTCTCGGATGTAAAGCAAATCTTCTACAGAATACACATCCTCCTTTCCTGTCCAAATAGTGAGGCTGTATCTGTATCAAAAAAAGAGAAAAAAAAAAAAAAGAGAGAGAGAGAAGAGTATGTTATTATCTTAAGCATGTAAGAAAGAAAGACATTGCACTAATAAGCTCCTAAAAATATTTAGGACCATAGTATCTTAACTTTAGGAATGTAATTAAATGCCAAAAACTTTATCTCCTTTACATTTCAAAGTTAAGCAACCACAATTTATGAACTATCAGAATTAACAGTTCTGTATGTCCCTGCCCTCCTCATCCCTCTACATCCAGGCAAGTCATCACCCTCTACCCTGCATTTGTGCTACAACTGACACCACTAAGAGTCTCTCCAATCTTCTTCCTATCACAGTGACTTCAAGTTACTGGGAAAAGCAACTGCTGGACCAAAATGCTACCCCAGAAACAGGCACGATCAAACACATCCTAGTTTGCACACAGGGCACGTGGAATGCTTGGTACAGACCAACTAGCTCAAGAATGTGACTGATAAGTCTTTAAATAAGCCTCCGTCTGACACATGCAAACTAAAATTTACAGAGGTCTATTCCTTTGACACATCTTTTTTTTCCTCATTGTGGAGGTAAGTCACACAATTTGCCTCCAGTCAAACTTCAAGTTCTTGCTCCTAATGCTAAACTTGCTAGAATCTCCCAGGAGGGCTGCAAAATTCTTAAGATGCACAATCCTACACTGTCCAGAACAATTTATTTGTAGCCTGGTTCTTGTGTGAACTGTTCTGCCGAACCTAGCAAGGATTAAAATAAAAAACTTTAGGCAGACACGCAGGAAAGAAATTTACTAGGCTGAGCTTTTAAAATTTGACAAAATAATAAAGTTACAAGAAGAGCATTATAACAGGAAATATGAGGCAATCTCACTTACAGGTAATTTTCATACTTTTTCACACTTTCATGTTTTGTCACCTATGTGATGTTTAATGATATCATCAGATTAACTGAATGTATCTTCTGTAATGTATCAGAAATACTTTTCTCCCTAATTGCACAGATTTTATTATAACTTTTTTAAAAACTGAAAAACTTCAAAATATCATTTACAGTTAAAAGCAATACCTCCACAATCTCCACATGACAAATGCCTCTTTTTCCCCCTTTGTTTGTTAAAACTATATTAATCTAAAATACAGGTAAATCAGAATTTAGTTGTATGTCAGCAAAAGCAGCTCAGCAATTTCTGTCTAATCACGCCACTAAAAAAGAGTCAAGATATTTATGCTGAGGTTAAGGAGAAAATCTTAATACTTCAGTGGGAATAACACTTGCATCCAATGAGGACATATTTGAGAATGGGACAATTCACAAGACATATTCTTAACATAAAAATATTTTGAAATTAATTTCCCAGTTTAAAATGTTTGATTCTAATTTCCCCACTGTTTCTCCACTTGTTTCTCCACTGTAAATGAGAATAACAGCACTTTATCTTTCCACCCTGTTGTCTCTAATTACTTAGAAATTTTCCAGACAAGTGATTGTCCTAAATTTTTGTTGGGCTTTGACTTTGGTTGGTGCTTAAGGAACAACTTTACTAAAGCGTAGGTAGGCAGAGTAGGTGAAAAAGATGAGTAAATGACACGTTTTATTCTCATTCTATTACATATAAATAATTTTTTTCTATGAAATTTTTATGGGTTTGTAAGAACAGTTTTTAAAAGGAAATCTAAGTCAGTGTTTGGAAACTGCTGAATGTATTTCAAGTACCTAAGCAAACTTAATTAACTTCATAGCAAACTCATTAACTTCCAATCTAAAAATCACCTTTGATGTTTCTACATCACATTATTACAGAAAATATAAATACTAATCCAATAAAAAGTATATATAAGTATTTAAATTGAATTAATTTCAAATTACAACATCAAACTACTTGGTCTCTTTAACTACATTAGTCTTATAAAATGTTTATGAAACTCGATTACAAACCTATATAAGATTCATTACCCATAATAAGTAATTTTAAAAGAGGCTTTTGGAATTTTATTATTTTAAAGAAATGAAGAGTGAACACTTCTGTATGACAAAGCAATTTAAGAACTGAAGGAGATAAAAACCTGAAGGGATAAACAAGAAGAAAAAATATTTTCAACATAATTGGACTAAGTATGTCCACATAAATGTGCTGTATTTAATATAAACAAATATGTGCCTTTATAATAAAGACAACTACGAATAAAGACCCTCAAGCTTACCTATCCGACTGTTGCATTAACCAACACAGCTCAGATATTGACTGTCGTACTAGTGCTGCTCTTACTGGGAAAGTTACAGGCTGGGAAAGTGTATTGCATATCTGGGCCATTTCTTTCACCATCATCCAATCATAGCCTACAGTAAGACCATTTGATTAAAAAGAATTCTTCACAAATACAATCTCTATCAAAATAAAGACACAATGATTTATAGAATGGTTAAGTTGTAAGATGAAACAAGAGCAAACTTGGGTTTTGTGAAAATCACATAACCCTAAAATGAAATCATCAAATTATTATAAATAAAAAATGTCATTGTCCGAGAGGAGAAAATCAATACTAACATGTAAGAAACCCACTGATTTTGAAAATCTTTATTTCCAGTAAATGCACTGTTATTTTACATATAGCTATGGAATGTGATATTTTACAATGTCTAGGAAATTGTATCTTTGTGCCCTCTCTAAAAAACAGTGTTACCACTGACTTCAATATAGACTAGTTTTAACTTGACAGTGACCCTCTAAAAGCAGCTACATTTTTAAAAAAATAGAAAAAAAATTAATCCAGTAAAAGACTTTAAGTTATACAGAAACGAAGTACATAAAACATTTTGTACTGAAAAAAAATGCTAAAATCAAGCAATCTAAAACACTTGAATTGCCTGCTGTTGAGATTTTTACAACCACTGGAGCTAGTTAAAATGGTATTTAACTTTTCTCCTACGGGCTATGAAAAACTTAACTTCAGTAACAGCAATTACTATTTCTTTCTCAATTACTCATATGCAATGCAGTGACTGGAAAGACTAAAAAAGCACTAAATCTTAAAAAAAAAGGTTTTCTTGGGCAAACAGCAACTTATATCAACTTAGTTGAAATCAGTCAAATAAGCTGTTTTTCTCATGTCTTACAGACTGTCATTATTTAGCATCACTATAAAGTGAAATTTAAAATAAAGTTACATTTATTAAAAAAGGGTACTCAGTACAGTACTTCCAATACGTATTTCCAGCAACTTTTTACTGCACTGAAAATATTTAGGAAAAAGTACTATATATTTTAATAAAATTACTGTATAACATACAACAAAATCCTCAAAACACAATACTAAATCTTGCTAATGAGTAAGTACCAATTTGGAAAGGTGTATAATTTTGCCATTGTAGTTACAGATTATGTTGGAGGGACTATACTACGGCACACAAATGCATGTGCACTGCAATAAAACACCCTAACAAAGTACTTATGAGAATTATGAGAGGAAGCCTGTGAAAAGGACCCTAAAATAATGGCTACATTTTCAGGATCTAAGTTCAAGTTAGGGATTAAAAATAGAAACTTCAATTATATTCTCAAAACTGAGATTTTTAAAGAGTTACTAACATCAATAAATTGGAAAAATTATTGCAAAAATTAAATTATTCAACAGAAATGAAATGTTAAAAAAATGTTAACCTGCAATTTGATTTCAGTGATCTACTGCAAAAGCACATTGATAGGGTTTTACATTTCCAGCTAACCTATTTGTCTTCAGAAAACGTGCCAGAATTCTGATTACCAAACCAATCCTCCTAGGATTCAGGGAGCAGACTACCTAAAACAGGGCTTAAGCAACTTGTCCCCAAAAATTCCTCAATATGTGCAAATGGGTTGAAGAACAAAATACTGTTTAACAACAGAAATATCAGATTTTTATACAGTTCTGCTGCAACTCAAACATTGAACTAATGGCTGTAAAACACTATCAAATACGCACCAACAACGAAAATAGTAATTCTTACATTCACTATTATTTTCAAATTGACCAGCTGGCATATAACTTTTGAATCAATTATGAAATTAAATTGAAGAAAACAGACTGTGCAGTGTAAGCATTAAATTTTGTATCTTTACCTTTATTGTGTTTGTCAGGGTGCCAGCCAGTTGTCCATCCCAGCGATAAGGTTACATTTGGGAAAAATGAAGTGACAGTGTCGAGGAACCCTTTCGCATCCACTACAGCATTATTTCCATTAGGTCCCGGTAGGATGTCTGCATTGATCCAAACGGGTTGCCTCAAATGCTGCTTCACATCTTCAAGAAGCTCCAAGGAAGGCCGTACGGTTTCTAGGCTGTACCATTAACACAAGGGTGAGATGAAACACCTTACATCAAGGACGGAAAATGTACGGTACATATATATATAAATACGTTAATGAAACTATCCCTGTAAGACAGACAGCAAATACTGAGGACTCTTTCTACCACAAGTTGACTATTACTGCTGGTATAGATAGCATAAGCCTCTTGTCTCCCTGCTGTCCAATATGACCTGCTTAATGCCTCTTACCTCATGGCTCTCCTAACTCCTGATCCATTAAGACTTTGATGTTATTGAACTCTTAGGAAGGATTTTCATTAAGGAAGCCACTGCAGGCTCTAATATTGTTGTAGTGATTGGTCCCACAGCTCAAAAGTGTGACATAATAGTGGCAGCAGGAAGGTCTGCCCATCAGATGTTCATCCTACAGCTAATTATTAAGAATGAAATGACTTGAGCAACCAACGTAGCACTACTTGCAAACATTCAACAAAATATATTAAGTCACATATTCTCACTGTTCTCTCAATTAAAAAAAAAGCATAACTAGAGGACAAAAAATAACCTTTCTCTATCCTACCAAAACTTTCAAAACAGCAGTATTGTGGAAGGAAAGGAAATGTGGAATAATGGGGAAAAAGAATCAATGCCAAGAAAAGACCTATTTTTTTCTCACACAGCAAATTAATTAACATTTTATGTAACATTCAGAAATTTAAAATCATTATGGTCAGTTGTGATTTCCTCACTAATGGCAAGGACCTGTGTTTTCTCCTGTCAGTCATGAAAAGCTCTGAATGAGCCCCCTTCTTGTTTTTCCTCAAAATCTTACAGTGACCTGATACAGAACTGATCCAACAGAAAACTTTTCATGCTGCTCTACAGGGTTAGTTTTCCTGTTCAACATCCTAAACTGGTCCCTCTGGGTGTCATGGGAGCACCAGGAAAGGGAAGGGGAAGAGAAGGCGCTGTGAAGAGCAAGGAGAGGATCACAACTGCTCCAGCTTACATGGATATAAGCCACAGGCTACAGACTCCATGGGTACCTGTTTGAAAAACACAGATGATGGTTAACTGCTCCCATGTCTTCCCAATTCCAAGGCCACTGTACCTCCAGCCTCTTACACTAGTGCTGATGCTTGCCTTAGCAGCAGTGTGTGAGTTCAGAGACATAAAGTGGTAAAAACCTGTTCTCATTGTTTTGTAGGGATGGTTCTGTACCAAGTTATTCCCAAACCTGGCTCATGATGAGGTCAGATGAATCGTGTCAGGATTTGTGGCCAAAAATGGGAATGGCAGCCAGCTGTTACAGTAGGTTAGCTCTAAAGCCAAGACCCTGATCTGCCTCTGTTGTTTCCTGTGAAAAGTCATTTTGCACATTTTAACTTTTGTACTTGTGAGAAAGCTGCATACTGGCAGGAATTCCTCTCAACACTTTCAGTCAGTATTAGGTCAAGTCATCTTAGAGAAAAGCTAGTGATGGCTTGAGTTGACATTATTAGCTGAAGTATTTCTCACATTGTCTGAGGACAGGACAGTCCTCATTCTCCCAGATACAAGGGATTGTCAAAGCAAGTGGAATACTGTCTGTTTTACTACAAAGTACAGGACAATGAAAAGAGAAAAAAGCCCAAAGCAGCATCTCTTGAAACAAACAAACAAAAGAAAAAAAAAAACAAAACTGAAACCACCAGACAGCACTATTTTTATTGCACAGCATTTGGAAAATTCAAGCTTATTGCTGATTCTATGTTGAATGATTCTGGCATTTTTTAAGTGGGACTCTGAAGCCCTTTTGCAGAATACATTCATTCCTGTTGATAAAGCCAGCAGGAAATGTGATTATGTGGTCAATCAAGCTGACAGAGTAGAAATATACAAAATATTTCCTTTTAAACGCTGTTGAAATAATCTTCAAAACTTCAGCAATGCTATCCAAAGAATATTATTCAAAATAACATCAAATTCTATTATCACTCATTTGACTATATCTGCACTGTGTGCTTGTATTTTTTAAATGCTTATGCAATTAGACTTTTATAATGCAACATAATTTTAAAAGCTTTTTTAAATCACTGCACTTGGCTGGAAATTCCTTGTGGAAAAATAAGAGGAAGATGTTTAAAATTAATTTAAATAATAATCACAATAATAATAACAACAACAACAACCACCAAACCCAAACAAATCTCTGCTTCTCTTGTCCTTTCCCCTGACTGTCCAGGCAGACATTTACAGATTCTGTTAACAATAAAAGGATTTAGTCTGCCCACAATTTTTGTATTTTCATGAACTTTCACAAGAAAAATGTGATTGCAGTACAGCAGGTACAAATCAATTTTACAACTATCTAGCTTTTAAAAAATGTCTTTTTTTATTTCTTTTTGGTTTTGATAGCATACTTAGGTACTGATGAAGCTCTTTTTAATGTGGAGGTGGATTCTCCATCTGCTGCAAAAAATAGACATTGTACATGTAAATTCAGACAAAGCTAAAGTTAGGAGTTGCAGAGTTGTATATCTGAAAATCACAGCTCACTTTGAATCCCATTTCAAATTTTTCAAAGCAATCTCATGGGGTTTTCAGGTGTATTTTCCATTAAAGACAATGAAACAGCTAATGGTTAAAATTCTAAACGAACCTCTGAAAATTTAATGAAGAAGTTAGGCCAAAGAAACAGAATTTATTTCAATATACATGCACCTTACCACACAAAAAGCAAGACAGCTTTTTTGCATTACAAACCATGCTGAAGAAATATACTGCTGCATCCTATGTGGTATGAGATCGGATATTCAAAGGAGTACACCTCATTTTTTAATTGAGACATCCCCAATAGATTGTTAGTATTGAAGCTGATCAGGAAACAGAATTCCTCTCCTTGGAGAGTGAAGGGGAAAAAAAAAAAAAAAGCTCTGGGAAAATAACGATATTCATGCTGGTAAGGAATGATGTTTCTAAATTATTATGAACTTCAGCAGACCTGCAACAGAAGTTGGCTTTTCAGAAGCTCCCTGAAAACCCTTGAGAATAACACCAGTAAAACTGGATGACAGCAGGAGAGACCTGTGTGCTGCCACACAGAGACCCAGGGGGCTCAGCCCCATTTTGCAGCCTGGAAGCCACTGACTTCCCAGTCAGAAGGTTGTCTTTCCCAATTTCTTTGCACAAGGAGAAGACTCATAGCAGCTTCCCAGATAGACGCTATCATTTCACTTTTCCCGATGGGAAAACTTTGCTCAATAGCAACTCTGTAACAAATTCACTGAATATGAAATCATTATTTGTAGTTCAAAACGCTTTTACAGCTTTTATTCTTGCAATGCATTCCATAATACTGATTATGTTTCACTGCATTTTCTGTTCGGGAAGGAATGCATTACAGTAAATTGCACAGTGTGGTGGGTTGACCCTG